CCCTATTTGGAGCCAAGACTTGAAACTTCACCAGTCTCGGATCCATTTCTCGCATTCATCGAGGAACTCTTTTAGTTCTTCTTCGTTTCTGTACAGCTGGTCCTCTGGCGGATGTGGCAAAGGCTCCTGTGCTGCCTCGGTGGGGGTGCTTGGGGCGCTTGTGCCTTGCTGGTTTGGCTGCCCTGGCTCGGGAGGGGTGCTTGGTGGGCTTGCCGGCGCGGCGCCTTCTGCTTGTTCATCAGCGGCTGTTCCTGACAGGGTTGTGAGCACTTCACCACATTGTGTGCAAAACCTTCAACTAGATCAGACATGCAGCGTGCCGTCAGGCCCTTCCCACACCAACCTTAGGTGCGCCCCCCACAAGAAGAACAGCCAACACAAACCACTCACCCCCTGGCGACGAGCCTGCGGATGCCGCCGCTTCACGGCCTGCGGAAGCCTCCGCTTCTTCGCGGTCCCTTTGGGCCTGTTCCGTGCGTGCCTCTTCCGCCCAATGCTCCAAGACTTCCTTGAGCTCATGGCGTCGTCTGCGGGTCATCATGTCGAAATCCAGAGTGAACTCGTTGTCATGGACATCGACATCTTGCACCTCAAGAGACAGTGCACAGCTGGGCGGTGGTGAAGAAAGGAGGGGATTGGAGATGCTCCAGTTATGCCTCTTGTGGCTGGTACCACTGAGGACGAGGTTGAGCGGAACGGTTTCGGACATCGTAGCATGGCACAGGTCTTGTTTGAAGAAAAAGAGCAGCATATATGCTTAGCTAGGCACTCAGTGTTGATGAGACCTGCAATGCAAGACAAGCCCGGCTTCGTTTGGATCTCCCCAAAGCACGGTCTGAGAAGAGCAGGAATTCCCTCCACCCACCGTTCAAGCTACCTCCATGATTGGCCTGCGGAACGAGTCCAACCCAAAACCGCGGCTCATTCCTCCAACAATCACATCATCTCAAATCTCTATGCCCCAGCGAGAGTCGACTGCGCGGATGGCCCCTGGGACAGCCCCCAGTTCTCCTGAAGGTTCTCTTCGATTGTGTGGAACTTGTGATGGGAAATGGCCACCTACAATCCCATACACTCCATGCCATAGGACTGCCGCCCCATTCACCACCATTCCACCACCTCTGGCTGTTTCTCGGCAGTCCGGCAGTCCCACACAGAGTCGTGTCTGGGAATGGAACCTGCTTGCAAACCTTCTGCTTGCCCCGTGACCCTTCCGACCAAGCTGCAATCTCCCGGAAAAACGCAAGCACTCGTCTCTTCTGAGCGGCCCGCCACGAGCGAGTGGCTCGACGTCACCAATCGAGTCGAGGTGAGCACCCATCGGGTTGACACCCGTCTCACACTTCTGAACCGTTTCGTAAGCAGAACCACATCCAAAAGCGAGTTCATCCAAAGACTTAGAGGCCAACTTCCCATCAATTTGGCTGTGTGTCACACCCAGACAGCCCTAGTTGATAGACAGCCCTCATTAATGAGAATCCTCTTGGTCATTGTTGTAAACCTATCCATCGGTGACATGGAGGGGAAAGCGGTTTTGACGTTTTGACCCACAGGGAAATTGTTGGTCACTATTTAGTTACTACGTAGTTACAAACCTTCAAATCCACGGTCAAGGATCCCCCAGAAGACCCACCGAAGCTGGTGCAGCCTTTGCCTTCACAAAGAGTGTTTAAAGGTCAATCCGGTGATCAATAGCTCGGCGAAAGGAGTCAAGTCTCATAGGTCTCCGTTCTTCCTACAACTGGCAAGGTGTAGTCTGCTCCCTGAACTTTGGAGCTGGGAAAGACAAGACGGCCACAAACAGAACGCACGAATGACGGCGAATCGGCGATCCAGAAAAACTTCAAACGTCACAGGCACCCGCCAAACAGATCTTGCTGGGATGGTCTTCGGTCTTCGAACATGCCGCCATGCCCCCAAAATAGGCCTAGCAAATCGAACCAAGACGACCTCCTGCGCGGGAGGTGTTGTGCACCCTCTGAGGGGCCCCACATTGTCGTCGGAGATTTGTACCATCAAGCTCAGCAGGTACTCGCGCTCCTGTTGGTCGGCGCATCGTTCCAAAGGCGAGGCCATCTCCTGGCGCGCCATCGGAACATCGAAGAAATCCGAACCAAAATGAATCTCGACCTGGGGTTTCCTTCTCGACATGGACATCGACAGGTGTGTGACGCGAGCTTCCCAATTCGATCAAATTTGCCGGAGAACTTGGTTGTTTCAGCAATTCAAAAAAGGTATACCAGTCTAATATGGACTATTTAGGCTGGCCACGTGACCCCCTCCCCGCCGGTCTCCTCAATGCGCTCAATGTCTGATTCCTGGTCGTCCACCTCAATCGCCTGAGGTTGTGGTTGTGGAGCTGGCGGCATTTCCTGAGGCTGCTGGGGTCTGTTGCCCCTAGCGGTCGATTTGGGCCACGCTTTTGGCTTTGCCTTCGGCTTGGCCTTCGCGGCCGGGCGGCTCTTGGGAGCCGCCTTCGGCTTTGCAGAGGCTTTCGCTGCTGCCTCCTTTGCAGTCCTTTCTGCCGCTTTTGCCAGTCTCGTTGCTTGTGCCTTGGCCAACTTGGCCTCCTGTGCTTCCTTCTTTGCCGCTTTTGCGGCTTCTTTAGCGGCGTTCTTCTCCGTCATCTTCTTGTTCTCTGTCGCTTTTGCCTTGGCGGTTCGGTTGTTGGGAGCCGCCTTCGGCGTCTTGCCCTTGGCTGCTGCAGCCTTCTCGGGCGCTTTTGTGGCTTCTCGTGCCTGTGTCTCCTTCGTGTCGCATTGCCTCTTTTTGCTCCCGCATCTTTGTGTATCTGTTGCCTCTTCTAAAACCCACGCCCACCCAGAAATCCGCGAACGCTTCATCTGGTCCATCTTCTCCCTGATCATGTTCACCTCATCCGCGGTGAGATAGAACAGTCCAATCCCGCATGGATCTGCGTCCAGGGACGGACAAGCCTTTCTCTTCGGCATAGCTCTGTCGGGATGTCCGCCCCAGCACTGCTCTGTTGACACACAAACTGACACACAAACCTGCTTTCCAGTACCTATCTAAAAATGTCTTCTATCTATTTCTGCCTCACTCCCTGCAAGGAGGTTTGCCCTGAGCAGAAATTGCAGCCGAAGCAGGCAAGAGACTGAGCTGGATTGAGCTGGACGAAGCTTACAGTAAACCGAAACGTCCCTGCTCTAGAGGGTTTGAGGCTTGCGTTTTCGCAGGTGCTGTGTTCTTGCAGCGCCTCCGAAAAGGCAGGTCATTGAAAGGATCCTCGGCTCATGATGAACCAACGAACACCGGGTGAAACTGTTGCTTCGAAGGGTGCCGAGCCGGTTTCACCATGCGGAGCCTTCGGGTGTCACACTCCGCACACCAAACAAATGGGACGACCGAAAAGGGACGCCAACATGGCTGGGTCATGAGGTACCATGTATGCAACTATTACATGGATGGTCCGGGTACCAGAAAGAACAGTAACTCCAATTCCTGCCACCTTAGACCTGTAGTGGAACCTCAAACATTTCATGCTTCTCCTGTAGGTTTTGTCACTGGATGTCGGAGGCCTCCGGACACCGCCGCGCCCGCGTTTCTTACGCCCGGAGCTCGCCTGTGTGAAGCAGCCAGGTCTGGCGGAGGTGAGGAGTGTGGGAGGACGTCCGGTGATGGTTGGGTTGATGGGTGGATGAATCAACCACCGCACCGTCTTGGAAGGCATGAGCTTCTTTGCCAAAGCTGAAGGGACAGAACAAGTGATGCTGGAGAGACGAGATCAAGTGATTCAGAGAGACGGGATCAGAAATCACATGAATAACCCAAACACGACCTGCTCTGGGACCAAAAGCAGGACATGTTCGGGATCGGATCCTCATGGATCAGGTGCAAAAGGGTATCTTTCCAGTGAAAGAAGAACATCAACAACCACCCCCCTAGCATCCATGAGACTGGACTAGTTACCTATATGGACGGGTCATGTTCATGGGGTAAATTTGTGTGTTTTCCTATAGTGGCGTGTAACTGGAAAGATGTGGGGCAAGTAACTGGAAGCGTCGGGTCACTTCAGATGAAGGGGTGTCACCACTTGAAGGTCTCACCACGACGTACTTCTTCACGTCAAGTGACTGGAATCATCCCATCCCAGGGATTGAAGCAACTCGAATGTATTGAATTCGTCGGATTTCCAAAAAAAAGCCGTCAAGCAGTATACCTGGATTCTTTGGGAGGATGTTCTGTCTTACTCGCTGAAACACCCCTGGAATCCATGGGGATCAACGACCGAACAACTGGCTCCACTGCGGCATCTGAACTCTTACTCCCACAGTGAGTGAGCATGGTGAGCATCTCCTCCACCGGCAGCCATTTTTTCCCATGGAGGAGCACTTTGGAGCAATATGTGTTGAGTATATCCCATTACCACTAACAGTGGATGATGACGGTTAGTAAAGGCCTTCTCTAAAATAGTGATACTTGCTTCTCGACGGCTCTACAGGTAAGGGACCAACGATCCAGGTCTTCCTGCGCCGAGTTCTTCAAACAAAAGCGTCGCTGGACGCCACGCGGCCCCGTGCCCAGCGCGGCCCGTGGTGGGCCATCTCCAAATCCCCAAAACACGAGAAATGGAACTGGATGCCATGCCGCAATATGCCCGGGTCTACCACCCGAAATGTAGGGAAAAAAACATGAAAAACCCTGCCAGCTCTCAAACGGTCTACCACCCAAATGTAGAGTAATATAGTTCGAACCCTGCCAGTTCTCAAACAGCGAAAGTGTCTTGGAATCCGATTTGACCGGGTCGAACTGCCGGGTCTTCTGCACAGCTGGGGAAGGGGGCGGACGTGCGACCGGCGGAGAAGACCGGCGGAGGGAGGCTCCTGGAGCTCGGAGCATCGTGTGTTCGTCGTGGTTTTTGTTTGACCAACTTCAGTAAAATGAGGTCATAGACTTGTAGGGATAGGACTGGAAGAGATACACCAGAAGAAAACATCGGAAGTGGATGGACAGAGGCCCTGTGAAGACCATGTTCCAAAACACAAACTGGTGGTGAACTCCAATTCCATGTTAGCGAGTTGGAGTGTTGACCTGTCCAGTCCTCTGGTTTCTTCGCACCAGCCCAAGACCCTTCGGTGCTCGGCCTGAAGCCGGCCGCGAAGCCGCCCGTCGCGGACACCGCGAGCGCCAGGCGCCAAGGGCGGAAAGCGCGGTGTCCACCGCGGGGTGGGCCTGGACGACAGGTGTCGTCGTTGTTGTTGTTGTTGTATATATGGGGGGTGAAACGGATTCCAACATGAGCTGTCTGGGGCTGGCATCTGGACCGATTTGGAGTGGTTGTTGTTAGGGCTGTGGTCGTGGAGTTGTTGTTGAGGCAGCCATAGATTCCAATCCCAAACAGGTCGTGTCTGGATCTGCTGTCGCGTCTTTTTTGGTGTCACCTCAATGAGGAAGGGCGTCGCACTGTAAACTGCGACAGGACCATCGGGCTCTGCACTGCAATGATCACACCAAACAGGAATTTCCACAACTATTTTCCACCCAAACAGACTGAACAACAAACAAACCATAAGAAACCTTATCAGCCATGGCAATGGCAGCACAACTAAGCAAGTTTCAGGTGCTGAATGATTGCTAATCAGCTCAAGCAAGGTGACGGGCTGCATGCCATTGGCATAAACGAGTCAACCCCCATGACTAAGACAGGACGGAGACGGGTCCTGTCTGGAAATCATGGTCATAGTACAAGTCATGCAAAATTTTGGCACAACTCCAGCAAATCTTGTCCAACACCTGTACTCAAGGTTGAAAAGAAGGAAGGACACCGTCAACAAGCATCCCAGAATATCTCAGAGATCCAGTGGTGCAAGAAACAGTTGCCTGAAAGGCAGCTGGTGTCTCTACAACTGTTACTGGGATTTCGGTTCAGCCTCCGTCGAAACCGACAATAACCACCTGTTCACTGCGTCCGCGATCGATTTCGGCCAACGCTTCAGCCTTCCCGGGCACGCCAAGGCATCTGCCTGCGAGTCTCTGTCCAGTCGAAAAGGCCGTATCCAAGCGATGGACAAGCCGTCCCATGTCGTGTTCATTTCTCCCAAAACTTGGCAGTAGAAAGAACAAATGAAAACGGACCTCTGGAAATCATCACTAGACCTGGACCCCTGGACATCCCTGGACCCTTCCTTTCAGGGCTTCCGGTGACACTGGTGATTCCGAGTGTAGGGGTCGGTGCTGGTCTGAGGGCACGATCTCCCTGATTCGGTCCGCACGGGTCGGAACCCGACACTTTCGGCTTCCAAAACCCTCCAACTCTCCCTAAGAACCATGGGAGATCTGAGTTGGTCTTCGATGGGATCTCCCATTCACCTGCACTGCTCCCGCGCCCAGCCCCCCAAACTGCCCCCAACCGGCACCTTGCCAGCGGCGGCGCCTTGCACAGACTTCCGCCCCGCGCGCCCGCCAACGCGCGCCGTGCGCGTTTTCGCGCCGTTTTGGAGGTCAGAACGGCTGCGGTGGAGATGTGCTGGAAGTCCGCAATGCTAAAGATATATATATATATATTGGTTTGAGAGTGGATGGCACAATCCCCAAGTTGGGTGGTTTATATGGCTCAAAGACATGTTGGGGTGTCAATGTCATCTACTCTCATCAGGGCCTAGGGATACCCTCTGAGGATGACTGGAGGGTCAATCCCTCCACATTGAGATCCCCCGATCATTGGATGCTTCACCAATTCATTTGCTTGGACTCCGTGCGAGTGGCTCTCACAAGGTAGGCGAGTCCCGCGTTCGCCCCGTCTCTCGTTGGTTTCGTTTCTCTCATTGGAGATCTCCAACTCGACTGCTCTGAATTTTCGTCAGTCTGTGGTTTCAGAGGTTCCATGGCACAAACAACAAAATTGGTTGGTTTTTCAGAGCAACTACGGTTTTCAGAGTCCCTGGGGGTCCTTTAGATGGGCTGTACCTACGTGCACGTTGCAGTCGTTTCTCGTTGTCCCGCAACGTGGTCGACCAGAGTTAGCGGCATTCGGTACCGAAGCCAACCACCATGGGACCAGAGTTTTTACACCAGCCATGGACGTGTGGGACCTGGCATGGGCAATGGAAACGACTGGGTTTGGCTTGTTTCGGAACCTGGACAACGTTAAAGACCTCCACTCACTGGATGGGACCAAACACCACCCCGACATGTGACTGCTGGGATATTCCCTAGGTTAGGGGATTTAACCAGTTCGTAGAAAATACATCACCTGATCCGCCAAAATCCCATGGATCTGGGATGAGTCAACACAACCGACAAGTCTGTCTTCCCCGAGACTGGCAGCCAGGTAGGGAACCTGGCACAAACAAGCGGCGCTTAGCACGGCGCTGGTTGGCAATTTTTGAATGTGCCCAGGCTTGGCCCCAATTCTGTGAATGAGAACTTGGCAAAACATCACTTATGCTGAAGCATGTTTGCGGGGATTGAGCCTGATTTTCTTTGCAAGACAGCCTTTCTGCATCATGTGCACACACACACACATGACAGCACACCTGCTGTATACAAATCTGCTCAAAAGGGACAGTCTTTTGCACACCCAATGCGCATCAATTGATCGCTTCCTGAATCTATCACCCTCCCCTCAAACCAAACAAAACAAGTCCACCACTGCTCCTTCACAGCACTGCTCCTCTCCGCTAGGTCAGTGACTCTCCGACTTGGGCGGTTGTAGAGGAATGTGTTGGTTCATCTTTGCGCACAAACAGAGCATGGTCAGAGCCACGTTCTCCGCTGTCACTGCTGCTGACTTTCAACAGCAACCGATGATGATCACAGCAGTTGCACAGCGAAGCTGCGTCCCAGCTTTCTGGCTACTACAACCTCCAAATTGCAAAACCAGCTCATGGTTCAAACGAGTATCATGTGAAGCTGTACACTCTGTGGCCATTGAAACAGGGGGCAAGTTGAAATTGTAGAAGCATGGATGACCTAACGTTAATCTGGATCGTAGGAGTGTCTGGGATGAGGCCAGAATATACCAGCAGCATACTGCAAACATGAATATATTATTGTTTGCAGTGTATTGCTGGCACTCCTGCATGGTTCCGCCTCTCCAAATGAGATATTGCACACCACATCCATCAATCTGGCTGCACTCTCAAGTTGGGCATATGGTCTCCAATAGTTTCAACAAGGGTGCTTCTCACCAAAACTACTGACCACATTGCAGTTGATGACACCAAGCCCCACATATGCTTTGCATGGCATCAAATAGCCTCACTGCTTGCTGTAATTGACCACCCTTCTGACATGCGCTGATGGCTGCATTGTAGCTGATGACGTCTGGCTGCACTTTGGCGTTGAGCATGTCCTCAAAAAGTTTCCAGGCTTGCTGCCATTGACTGCCCTTCTCACAGGCACTAGTTGACGCGCTGTAGCCAACGACATCTGGCTGCAATTCTGTGGTGGGCATCGCCTCAAACAAAGTCAATGTTGCCTGCCATGGACCGCCCTTCTCGCAGGCACTGATCGCTGCATTGTAGCTAATTGCAGTCGGTCGCACTTTTGCCTCTAACATGGCCTCAAACAACTTCAATGCCTGCTGCCATTGCCCGCCCTTCTCACAGGCACTGATGGCAGCATTATAGCTGACGACGGTCAACTCAACCCTCCCCCTGCGCATTGCATCAAATAGCTTCAATGCTGCCTGCCATTGCCCGACCTTCTCACAGGCACTGATAGCCGCATTGTAGCTAATGACAGTCCGCTCCACTTTTGACTTTGGCATTGCCTCAAATAGCTTCAGGGCTTGCTGCCATTGACCACCCTTCTCACAGGCACTAATGGCAGCACTGTAGCTGACGACAGTGGCCTGTATTTTCGTCTGTGGCATGGCCTCAAGCAACTTTAAGGCTTGGTGCCATTGGCCGGCCTTCTCACACGCACTAATGGCAGCACTGTAGCTGACAACAGTCGCCTGTAGTTTTGCCCGCTGCATGGCCTCAAGCAACATTAAGGCTTGCTGCCAATGGCCGGCCTTCTCACAGGCACTGATGGCCGCGTTGTAGCTGATGACAGTCGGCTGCACTTTTGCCTCGGGTATGGCTTTGAACAGCTTCAAGGCTTTATGCCATTGACTGCCTGTCTCACAGGCACTGATCCCTGTACTGTAACTGATGACATCTGGCTGCATGTTTGCCTTGGGCAAGGCCTCAAACAACTTCAATGCTTGCTGCCATTGCCCGCCCTTCTCACAGGCACTGATGACTGCATTATAGCTGATGACATCTGGCTGCAGTTCTGCCCTGGGCATCGCTTCCAACAACTTCAATGCCTCCTGCCACTGATTGCCCCTTCCGCAGGCACTGATCGCCGCATTGTAGCTGATCACCGTCGGGCGCACTTTTGCCTTGGGCATGTCCTCGAAAAGCTTCACAGCCTGCTGCCAGGATTTGACGCTCGCAGCAGTTGAAATCCCCACAGTGAAAATGGACGCATTCAGCTGGAGGCATCGTCCTTCGATGCCCTGTAAGATTTGATAGACCAGGTTCCCTTTCTTTTGCTCCCGCAGGATCCACAAGACTTCTTGAAGGATCTCCATGGAATACACTTCCGGCAGCAGAACGGTGCACAGATTTCCTTAGACTTGCTGTGTTTGCATCTTCCCATGCTAACAAACATGGACCAAAGACTTACTGTATATATCTTCCTCTACGACTGCAGGTCTTCAGGGTCCATGTTGGAGGGCACACACAAAAAGCCAGGAGGGTTCGACAACGGTGTTTTCCTCACGCAGCAACTGTTGGAGAGACCCTTGTTTTCCTCGTGTCTTGTTTGGCCCTGGTACTTTCAAGTTTCAAAAAACCCGACACCCTTCAAAAGCATGTCGCAGATGTCGTACTCGCGCCGAGTCCAGGTTTCGTGTGCGAGGTTTTTTGGTACTCGATTCGTCGCTTGATTCGGGACAAGGGAGTGGGATGTGAATCGCATCTTACTCCAGAAACTCCAATGATTCAATGTTATGTTCACCACTTAGCATAACATAACATAACATAACAATAGCATGATTCGCCACTTAGCATATCTCTGATGGTTTTGCAACATGATTTTCAAGATTCTCAGAGAAACCCCCTGGGTCCGGCGAACACCACGATGGCATGTTTTCCATGGGAAATCCGGACGAGCAAAAAGGTTCACCATTTGTCCACCGGTGGATTTTTTTGGGGGGGACACCCATCTCCCTAAGAAGTTCGGCGTACACAGGTTTTCACCCTCCTGTCCGCCAGTTAGACCGCTCCAGGTTTCTTTCACTCACCACTTGGCACAGCTTCGTCAGCCATTCATCTCTCACTCTGAACCCAGCTTTCGATGCGGCAAGACCGCTCGACGACTGCGGTGACTCTTCGCCCGCTGCGTCGAGGGAGAGACCTCGAGTTCCTGGGAGCAGCGGAGCTTCGGAACCTGAAGCCCCAAAGAACACGAGTCTCCAGGCCCAGGTTTTTGAGGGGTTTTCCACGTGAATTTCTGGGAACATCGGGGAACATCACCATCACCCGGAGCGGCAGCCGCAGTGTTCCTCCAGGGTTCCTCCAGCTACCGCGACCTGACACGCAGCCGTGTGGACATGTGTGGACGTCGGCCGCAGCCCAGGACCCCATGATGGTAGTCACAGTGGTGGCCACTGGCTATACTCTGTCTGACCCTTCTTCCGGAAAGGACGTGATTTCTTGGGGCTTGGTAATAATTAGATGCTTGGGGGGGCATTCAAAAAGATCCAAGGCGACCACATAGTGAAGAGTGTCTTAGACAGGGTGGATCACTCAATCACCCCATGACTCCTGGTTCCTCTGACGGTTCCCGCCACGTGGCGGAGCCCTCGTTCCCCCTCGTTAAAGCCAACCGCGTCCTGGAGCTTGAGCCCACCCTTGAAGAGGCGCCCCGTCACGAGCCGCGGCTCGGGCAAGGCGAGGTCAGCAGCTTGGGCTGCGCACATGCCACGAGCGCTGAAAGGCATCTTCCATGAACGCTGAAAGGACCGCGAAGGTTCAGCGATTCCGCGGAATGGCCACCAATGAGGGTGGAATCCTTCCGCCAAAATGGCCCGCGGAGTGCGGAGGTTTTGGACGGAGTTGGTGGAGGGAGAAGAACAGCGACCGGCCGAGAAGTCTTTTGGGGCGTTGACCGTAGTTCTTTTCAAGCAGCGATTCTGGTGGTAAGCTTCCTCAAAACCCCCCAGTATCGTCGCAGCTTGGCACGTGGGCGACCTTCCTTCTCTCTCTCTGTCTCTCTCTTTTCAAGTGGGGACAGGTCGTCGAAACAGAGTTTCAAGGGCAACACCTGCCCCAAACATGGTTAGTTGGGGTGGTTGACCTGGAGGCTTTCTGGGTGGGGCGGCATAGATTCCAGTCCCAGATAGGTCTTGCCGCTTCCAACCTGGGTGCCTACCGGGCACCGAAACCGATCCCAACACCACGCAGTCGCAACGCAGAATGCCATGGGAAAGACCCCCCCGCCAAGTGACCGATGGTCGATGAAGGATTGTGTTCCACCAAAAATGCTGATTTTTGATATTATTGTACCTTTGCCACGCATGGAATAACATCTCTGCATGCAGCATCATGCAGCCTTGAAACCATCCTAATGTAGGGGTATCTACGGTATCTTCACTGTACATTCCAGGGACAAACCATTTTTTGCTATGTTTTCAGGCCTTCATTGACCCGTGGGGCCGGTTGTCATCGAGTCCTTCGGGTCACCTCAACCCCCCAAACCCGCCGATTCCGCCCAACGATGCGCGGTCGTTCCGACGACGAGCGCGCATGCGCCACTGTTTTGGGGCCAAGCGGACAACGGGTGAGTCCAACCACAGCGGGGGTCGCTGTCCGCCGCCCATCGCTGCGTGATGCCATCTCGGGAAGCTTTCCTCAAACTCACCGTTTTCCAAAGCGAATCCCACCAAAAATGAGGTGGCGGGGATGTACTTAGAGGATGTACTTGAGAAATACTTAGAGGGTGCCATCGCTAGCAGGTTGGAGGCCATCGCTAGGCGCAAAGACACGTCGACAGGTTTCCGTTCGTTTTCTCACCCTTTTCGTTTCTGCGAAGAAAACGACGGCGTCACTGGCCTCTTCGTCCGGCCTCTTCGTTTGGCACTCCGGCGGCCAAGGGGTTTAGCATTGAAAGGGATTAGCAGAAGCAAAGTGCCTTAGGAACCCGGCCAAACAAATGCATAGAATCCCTACACGTTTCCCATGTTGCAAAGCCCAAACCATCGTTGGAATTTGTGGATTACTATCGGTAAGGTCTGGGCGGGGAAATCACCATCGGTGAAGTTGATGGAACAACTCTTCTGCCTTAGTTTTCTCAGTCGCCATGATGAGAATTTAGGAAGAATACTTGCAAGACTTGACCGCTGATTTGATAGGAAAGGCCCAATTTTGAGTGGTTGCTACATTTCTTCTGAGGCATTCCTCAAATTCTGGGTAGCTGACATGTTAGTTTCCTTCCCCAAACCATGTATGGAATAGTTACATACATGGCCGGGTCATAAATGGGGTAAACGTCTGCATACTATTCCATATAGTTACATGGCTGGTTTGTGTTCTGACGTTTGGATGGCGATGCTATGCGATGCTTGTTCGAGCCTGTGAATGCCCAGCTTGAGCTTCTCCGTATCCGGCAATTTATCCAACTTGGATTTGGTGTCCAGGAACCTGGAAACATGAAACATATTTCCCAGAAGATTGACCCATAGGAAAAACATCAGCTTAAGCAAAAACCAGGTCAATCTATCACTTGCTCCTTTCATTGTTTCGGATGGTTTCGGATGGTTTCGGTGATATCCTGCACTAGGCACGAACGCTCAGTCGAGGTGTGTCGTCTCTGTCAAACGACCTCGCCACCAACTCATGGTGCTTTCTCATTTGAGAGTATTTTGGAGGAGATGTTTGTTCAAATCCTCCCAAAGCCCAAAGCCGCTGTGGTTGTGTGGCTTCACGAAGGCCCGGTGTTGTCACCACACGGATCGCCGGAGTGCCCCCTACGCGGAGTGCCCCGTTGGACGCCTGCGGACGCCACGGGCGCACTCGTTTCGAGCGCCACCGGGCCCGCCGTCCACGGAAAGAGCGCCGGTTCGGAGCGCCGCGAAAAACTGGGCGGTCACTGATGGACCACCTGCAGGTGCGGTGGCTGTCCGGTCTGACAAGAACACGCATAAAACACATGAAGAGTTGTATACTTAGTGTATACTACTTAGTGTAATTGGTGGGGTATAATATGTAACCAGAAACTCCAGTCCCATGGTTTTGGAAGTGAGTTTATCATGGATTCTGCGAATCGTTGGTTTGAGAAACATCGACTCTTTTGATGTTCTGAGGGAGACTCGCATGTTCAAAAGAAAAAGACCAGGATGTCAACAAAAAGAACGTCCCAACGTGTGGGCCCAACGAGTGTGAGGGAGTTTCTTTGCCATCGCATGCCACCGCCCTTTGGGATAAAACAGCATTAGAGCGGAAACATAAAGAATCAGAAGCGACATCCCCCACTGTGAAATCTGCACATCGAAGTAAAGCGGCTCCGAAATAGCAGCGAACTTGCCGGTTCGCAGGATGTGAGCACCTTGAACCTGGCCACCTGTTTGGGGGAAAACACACACATACACAGAAACAGTCTTGTAGGGAAATGGGTCTGTAGGATTCTAGGTGACTGTGCGTGGGTACGGCCTCACAACTGCACTGTTCTACCTTCACTGCAGAGGGACCTGAGAGTTGCGTCGTATAACGTAACGAGTATCTATTTTCAGCCGAATTGGAACTGCAGTGGATTTGTCTGAATGGAACCACTGGTGACCTATGAACAAATAGGATTCTGCTGGAAGACATACGACCGGAAGAAACTTGCTGGAAAAGAATTGGAACTTTAAATTTAGATTTGGGCTTTATTAAAGGGCGACAGGACATGACCCACATCCATGTCCACGAGAGAAACACAAGAACCTTTGCAGCTACAGCGCACACCTAGGAAGCCAAAGGATGTCAAACGGAATCTCGAAAGACCACCCACATAATGTCTACTCCTGACTTTAAAAACCACCGACCATATGAAGTGGATTTCCAATTCATATGGGTATGGTCCGGTATGGTGTATTCATCAAGAAAAGATACAACATCACTCAACCTTTTTCTTAATATCGAAGTCTTGCAGCCGTTGCTGATCGATCAGTACGGAGTCACCACGCCAGGAGCCTCTCCGATACCCGCCGCCTCATAGGTAGAAGAGGCTCCGTTGCAACGACGGGTGTGGCGCCTGCCGCGACGTCGTGTTCGGCTTGGAGGTTCGCTCCCCGGTCAGCAGTCCACGGCCTGGAAGAGAGCCCAGCATCCCAGCACCAGAAGCCTTAAGCGAAACATATACACAGAATAGTGCGCAGCACCCAGAGAATCAGCTAAACATTAAGAACATTATCCCAGCCAGAGACCCCAATCAGTGTGTCTAAAGGTGCAAGAGGTGTCTAGAGGTTACCATGCTGTTTCGGGGAAAAATACATATATCACAACACAACCTGTCTGTGTTAGGAATGGAATATACACAGTATACATACAGCTTCCGTTGACCTGCACCCACCCCCGTCTCGATAACCTTGCTGATTGGTCCCACGGAGTGTCTGGGACAATCATTGTCATACACTCCCAAAAACAACTCACATAGACCCGGGTCCGTCCTGGCCCCCTGGGTCCGAGTGTTTTCCTCTACCAACCAGGGGTTTTCAGGGTGGTGTGATGAAACACGGTCGGACCACACGGTCGGACCAAGTTGCAGGTCACAGAGCGTCGCGCCCACCCATTGATCATCGTAAGAACTGCTCGAAAACAAAAGATACGAGTACTTGGTGCCAGTTCGGACACCATGAGAAACCCACCGCAAAAGGATGGCTATTGGAAGCATGGGAGTTCGGAACTCCCGGTCGAATGGATCACACGCAGCAGGTGACCTGTATGTCATCGAACCTCATGTGCCAAAGTACCCCTGAATGACTACACCTGGGTCAGCAACTACACTCTCGAAAGCTAACATTGATCCTGAAAATGGACCTTTGGAAGACGATGTTCCTCTACAAACCGGACGTGGTTTTCAGATTCCATGTTAATCTGTCCGGGTGTATCCTCGATGATTCTGGCTCCAAATTCCTCCGGACCTCAAATCTGGTCCACCTACTGTACCTTCTTGTCCAACCTCTTCCGCTATTCCTCTGTGCCTCTTCACATGGGGGCTTGAAATATCATTAAGAGTCTACCCTAGCGGAAGTGCAACATGTCGCCAACATCGCCATCAACCATGTGCCATCATGGCGTCACATCATTCTGTCTTTTATTTCTCCGCCTGCAGATTGACACGGACTCTAAACCTTATTCCGTGGAAGGCCATATTCCTCTACAACCCAGTGATATTGAAAGTTCACGTGTTCCTCTGCACAAGCGGCTCGTCATTGAACTTCTAGGTATCCTTCCAACATCCCAGGGGATCCTTGGACGCTCA